ATGTCCTTGATGCAAATATGGCATCTTTACCATCTTATCTCCATGTTGTCTTGTGTAATGTAACCTCAATATGTTTTGTATTGAATCGAAAACCTATGATTCTATGCAATATTTGCTGTTCCTCTTTGCTCAAAAATTGAACATCAGGTTTCTGTGTGCCGAGTGATTTTTCTTCTGGTGACATATAAAGTCAATCCATTAAAACATTGATTGGAAAGTCTGCACATGCTCCTCTCTGTTAGTGAAGAAAGTTTTCTTCTTGGTTCCTTCAGCTAGCAAGTGCTTAGTAATGTGGTGGTCCCTGGGACAGAGACAAAGAGCTGATGTTCTCCACTTTGTTAAAGGACACAGTCCAATCCCCATGAAGCAGAGTAATGGGTAGAAAGACTACACAACCTTCAAATGGGCTTAAAGTTATTTTCAAATGCTTAACTACTGATTGGGGAGGTCCTTCTGTGTATGTTTATCTTATTGGTTGTTGAATAAAGCACTGTTGGCCAATAGGGGAGGAAAATAGCTGGGACTAGGAGTCGAGGAGAATTCTGGGAAATGTAGGAAAGAGAAGTCTTGTGATCCAGGCAGGAAGTAACATAACAGGCAGACTCAGAATATAAGCAGGGACAATCAGAAAGTTGATCTCTTCCTCTTCCTCCTCCTCTCTGTGGAGCTGCCATGTGATCCCAGGAAGGCAGGACGCTTTCCACCAGCATCCTCCATAAGATAAGTCTTATAAAATATAAAGATTAGTAGTTATGGTTGATAAATAAGACTGAGTTAACATTTAAGAAATCCTAGTTATTGGCCAGCAGTATTGTACCTATATAAGTCTCTGTGTGTTATTTGGGACCTTAACGTGGCGGTGGGTGAGCCTTATCCTTACTAACTACCCTGTGGGAAAGTTTGTTTTAGCCCTATAAAATGAATAGGGAAGCCAAAAGCATTTCTCTTTTTGCCCCCTCCCACTCTTTTTCTGGAGTAGGTGTTCTCTTTAGAGTCCAGGCTATCCTCAAACTCATGGAAACCCACTGCTTTAGCAGGTGTGAACCACCACACATAGCTTAAAAGGATTTATGCCTGTGTGAGGAATGGTATAAGAAACTATGGTCAGTGAGATAATATGGTATGAAGTTTTTGTGTGGGGATGGGTACATACATACATGTTTTTATACCTGTATATGTGCACATGGAGGCCAGAAGTCAACCTCAGCCATCTTTTATCCACTCTGTTTTTTGAGGCAGGGCTTTTAAAGATTGACTAGACTGGCCAGCCAGTGAGTCTCAGGAACCTCCCTGTATCTGCCTCCCCAAAGTTGGGATTGTAAGCATAGCACACCATATTTGGCCTTATAAGTGGGCACTAGGACTCAAACTCAAGTCCTCATCTTGCACCACAAGCACTTTGCCAGCTCTTCAGTCCCTCACATGCAGGTTTTAAAGCATGAGTTCCAGGGTAAAAATGGCATTGGTTCAAATCCTTGCCCGGCATTTGATTTGTTTACCTTTGATAAGATATTAACCTCTCTGACCCTTGCTTTATGGCAAAATGGGAAAAATAATATACACCCCATATTATTATTGTAAGATTAAAAATGAAGGGCCAGGCACAGTGCTACACATCTCTAATGCCAGCACTTGGGAACTGGAGGCAGGAGGATCAGGAGTTTGAGGTCATCCATGGTTACAAAAGGAGTTCAAGGCCAGCCTAGACTCTATGAGACGCACATCTCAACAAACAAGCAAAACTAAGGAAAAACACTGTGAAGGAATTTTATGCAAGCAATATCTTTCAGAAGACCTCAGATATGAGATATGGAATGTACTTCACTTATTGTAGACAGCTTATCCATTCATTATCCACACAGTTTATAATCACTTGGATGACCAAGTTTTGAAGCTGTGACTCTTAAGAAATGTTGAGTTTTGCGGTTGCATTCCTAGAAGGCGCTTGGAGATGAACCCTCAAATAACTGATTCTAGAACAGTGTTAGAATCAGAGTCTACAGGAGAACAGGAGGATGTGCAGTGGTACCCCCCACCCCAGTCATTTCCCCAGGGTTCTCCGGAGCTGAGGTGGCTCTTATAGGACGCCTTGTGTCAGGGCAGAGATGTTGGATTTTTCATAGTCCTGACTCACTAGTTCCCCCTGAAGGGCAGCAGATAGGGTCCCTAGTAGGACAGCTCTCTTCAGTTGAGGTAATCTAACAAGAGACACCAACCTAAGACTTGTCATTCTACTTTTCTCCCAACAACTAAGTAAAAAAAAATCCCAAAGGAAGGCACTGTAGCAGTGTGAAGATATACATGGACGTGATCTGTGCCATGCTTCACATATATATCAACTGAAGCTATATTTTGAAGTGATGTAATTTCAAATAAAACACTTTGCTACCTTTCTGTAGATATACTGTTGCTTTCTGTTACCTTTAGAGCATTTTTAATTTCTCAACTATTTAATGGTATCCATGTCCCAGAACACCATCTCATGGTGAAAATGAAAATTCATAGTGGCTTTTCCTCGTTGGCTATTCCAGGATCACCACTATCATAAATGATACAGTAACTATCCAGACCAGAAAGTTCATGACGAACTACTGATTTCAGAGGAAGCAAATGGTAATGAATGTCCTTCTTACTAGGAAAGCAATAGTACCAAAGATGTTGGACCAACATGTGTGAAACCACACTAGATGTCATCTTTGTATTTGAATTCTGAGCCAATTTTGATGGTGGCTAGTCAACTGGCTTCTGAATGACTTGTGATTCCTTAGATTATACAAAGAAAAATGAACCCAAACAGAGACTTGTATGGGATCAGAAGACAAGAAAGATGGCAGGAAAACACAGAAAGGAACTCAAGAACAGATGGAGGCTGGGGGCTGGGGGAACATGAAGACCAATGTGGGCACTGGCAAAAAGCAAAAGGAGTAAAGAGTCTGTAGTGACTTGATCTCCAGTGATGGTGCAAATTTCTAAGGAGGGGCCATATCAACTATAAAAACATTTTTCTTTTTTCTTATATTTTTATTATTGAAAAGAAAATTTAAATATAAATATATTTTGATCATATTCTTTTTTCCCAAACTTAAAAAAATCATATAATGTATGGACAGTGCTTTGCAAATTCCCGGCAAATGCAATATGCTGGCTATTTTATTACAGGAAGGCCTGGGAATACAGGGTGACTCAGTGATGAATGGAGAACAGGAAGTTCTGTTCATGCTTAAATTCAGGGAAATGCATTACTTGCCACTGGGAGCATTTACATTATGGGTATTTGACTAGTGAATGTCTCAGTCAAGTTTTATGTCAGCACTAAATGAAGGTGTGGGCTCTGGCTCCTGGTGGCAGCCTTAGCTTGACTTCGGGCATTCTTCTTTCTTTCCCATGAGCAGGAAACTTGAAACTACACTCTCTCCACCTGGGGTGTAGAAACGTAAATGGTACCAGAAAATGAACAGAAAACAACATGCAACAAAGGACCACAATTTGAAAAACTTCATTTTCCCCTCCAGCTACATCCTCATCCCTCCCAGTTTTGAAATTTTGGTCATCTCACTCAGATCCTTAGAATGTATGCTCTCAAAGGTACATACTAAATTTCTCTACCTCTTCTTAAATTTACTGAACAAACAAACAGCATTAATGATCAGCGTGATAATGACCCTTTTTGGCTATCTTATGAATTTAAAGGAACACACACACACACACACACACACACACACACACACACATAGTTTTGAAAGACTCATACTAAAGGCTTTTTATCTCCTTTCCTGGCTCCTACCACTCCATTCCTAAAACAAAATTCAAATTGTATTTTGAGATTGGGAAATATGTCCTGATATTTTGCTTTTGTTTTTATTCCACAAGTGCCTACCACTGTGTCTGAACGCAATGGGAACTCAATAAAATTTGTTGAATGAATGGATGGAATGGAAGAAACATTAGGGATAATATAGTCCTCATTTTAGAATGATTTTCTAGGAGATTGAGGCATATGCACAAGGGCCCATAGCTGTATGGGTTGATTCAAGGATGTAGTGTTCAGAAACCTGTGGCCAACACTCTTTGTACCACAGCACATATTTGCCTTTTGTACTTGAAAGACCCAAGTATGTTCTCAGCATTGATTGTACCTCACTCCAAATGAAGACGTTCACTTTTAAAGACACATTCGTTTCTTTAAAGCTAGAAGTGAGGTAGAACATTAGACTATGAAATAATATTAATGTAACCTCTTAGCCTTCAATACCTTTTCTCATTGTATCTTTCCCAAACTCTTATTCATATGATAGATAAGAGACCTTTTTTTACTAATTCCTTGTAAGTTTAGAGGTTCCATTATTATTACCAAATAATTTTTAAGTCAAAATTAATTTTGATAAGTATACAAAATAATGGACTAATTACATTTTTACACATGTTTATCATTGTGCTCAGTGTACTTTGCTCATTCATATTCACTTTATTTAGTCAACTCCCTCCTGCTGGTTCCCAGCTTCCTCTCAAATAGTTCCACTTCTGCTTTCCTGTGATCTTTAGGAATCTAGAGTCCACATATGAGCAAAAATGTGACATTTGTTTTTCATAGTCTTATTTTGCTTAATAGCATAATTCCCAGTTCCACTCATTTTCCTGCAAATGACATAATTCCATTGTTATTTATAGCTGAACAAAATTCCATTGTGCCTCTGCGTGTGTGTGTGTGTGTGTGTGTGTGTGTGTGTGTGTGTGTGTGTGTGGGGGGGTGTGTAAAAGAGAGCATTCAGTGATGGAAGGAAGGAGGGAGGGAGGGAGGGAGTGGGGAGGGAGTGAGGAAAAGGGGGAAGGAGAGAGAGAGAGAGAGAGAGAGAGAGAGAGAGAGAGCCATTCATCTGTTGATGAATATCTTGGCTGGCTCCATTTGTTGGCTGCAGTGTAAACATGGATATACAGGAATCTGCAAGGGAAGCTAGTGTAGATTTCTTCAGGTACATACTCAGAAATAGAAGTGGTACAGCTGTGTCATATGGAAGTTTTATTTTTAGTTCCTCTCATTTAGTAATATCATCAATTTGTAGAAAGTAGAATTTAACCACACTTTAGACAAAAAAAAAGGGGGGGCACAAGAACAGCCTTGATTAATGTCAGTATTTTACATCATTTTAATTTATAAAATATATTCAGGGCAAGGCATTTAATTGTCGATGGCTTACAGTTTCAGAGGTTTAGAGGTGTGCAGGCAGACATGATGCTGGAGAAGGAGCTGAGAGTCCTACATCTCGATCTGTCAGCAGAAGAAGCAAAAATTGAACCACACTGGCCAGACAAGAGCTTATAAAACCTCAAAGCCTATCTTCACAGCGACACATGCCCTCCAACAAGTCTACACCCACTCCAACAAGGCTACACCTGCTAATAGTACCACACACTATGAGCCAAGCATTCACACACATGGGTCTGTGGAAACCAGACCTATTCAAACCACCACAGTCAGTAAAGTGCCTGTCACCAAGTCTAACAACCTGAGTTTAACCCACAAAACTCACAAGCTGAAAGGAATTGTCCCCTGACTTCCATCTGAGCATTGTGGCACTCATGTAGGAGCATGCATGCACACAGAGAACAAACAAATATATGTTGCAAAAATTAAATATATGTATATATACAAATGTTCAATTGAAATAGAAAATATTTTTGAAGATCATCTATGATTTCATGATCCCAACATAACAATAACAGCATCATTTCATTGTAACATTCTGATTAATTTTTTTAGTCTGTTCTGTCTGTTCTCTCTCTGTCTCTGTCTCTCTCTCTGTCTCTGTCTCTCTTTCTCTCTCTTTCTTTCTCTCTCTCTCTCTCTCTCTCTCTCTGTGTGTGTGTGTGTGTGTGTGTGTGTGTGTGTGTGTAGGATCTCCCTTTGTAACCCAGACTGGCCTAGAACTTGCAGTCCTCCTGAGTCAGCTTCACACCTGGCCCTACTCTTTTATTCCTAGTCAAATTTTCTATAGATGTGAACAAGGAACACCTCTTCAATTTCTTTTTCACTATGTAAGAAGATTTCCATGTTTTAGCACAGCCTCTGTAACTATACATATTCATTGTTCATACAATATTCCACTGGATACATACACTACAGTTGACTTAATTAAGCCCCCAGGGGTGGATGGAAACACATTCCCCACTCATTTATTACTTTAAATCAAGCAAGGATGAGCACGTGTAATCACACAATTTTATCCATATTTTGGGCTATTTCCTTAGTATAAATTCCCAGAGTGGAATTACTGCATCAAAGAAAATGGCATTTTTATGGCTCTTCAAGCACAGGTTGCCAAATTCCTGCCATAGGGGATAAAATTCAGTTTAATTAAATTTATTGAGGAAACAGAAGTTCGAATTTCCTGTAGTCAGTATTGCCAAGTAGCCAGCAGAGGCCAAACAGTGTGAAAAGAAGGATTTGTTCTGAGTAGGTAGGTCCACCCTTTCCAGCCAGTTTATGAAGGGTGCCTGGGAACTCTAATGTGTCCAAAAGTTGTTACTTAGACAGCTATGCATTAGCACTGCCAGTTAAACTATAGGGCTGAATTCCTGAATTCTGTTCCTGGTCTGTGACAGTTCTCCAATGAAAGAGTAATAAAAATAAAGTTTGGGGTTCTGTACTAACAATGGTTCAGCCCTTATCTGGCTTTTGAGGCTCCTAGCTTTTATCTCTGCCACTGAAAGGGAAGGAAGTGAGGCAGTAAGGAGACCGTTTGGATAAGTAGTCTACACTTTTTCCAGGTGCATTTCTGGTGAGACTTGAGGAGATGACATTATGAGTTTGAAACTTTCTCTAACTTTAAATTATATTATCAAAAGCCAACATGACTTAGATTTAGATAGGGGCCTCTAATCAAAGAGCATTCCATGGCTGGGTTTGCCACTCAGAACACACAGAAATTGGACTGAGTGCTTCTTCTTTTTTCCACACAAATGATCATGCTGAAGTAGGACTCCAGAAACACATCTGGATAAGTCGATTAAATACACCTGTACATTTACATCATCAGAAAGCCCCCCACCATCTGAGCTGTCCTTCCCCCCACAACCTAAGTACTGGGCTTAATCCTCAAGGCAAAGACAACTCATGATGTCCCAGACAGAAGCTGAAAATTAGTGAAGAACAAAATGAACCGCTTAGCACTTAGAATGCTTTTATTAGTGTTTTTAATAAACATTAACTTTGAAAGAGCCTTGATTATTAATATTTCTAAGCCCATTTTTTCCAAGTAAAAAGACCAAAGTTGAGACACACTGGGTAATTTTTCTTCAGGTAATAAGCCAAGAAGAGGTTGAATCAGGACTTAAGTAAGTTCTTAGATCCTAGATTCTATATTTGTATTACAATCACCTCCCATTAAATACTGATTACAAGAAATGCATATGGTGATTATTAGAGAACTCAGCCATTTCATAAATCCCTGCACATACGCTTTACATTGGAAGAAAGGTGAAAAGAAACAAGTTTTGGACTAAAACTATTATCCCAGCTGGACATTGTCGTGCATGTCTCAGAGTGGATGTGGGTTCACATGGGTCCATGGAAAGAAGACTCAGGGATACTTTTAAGAATGAACTTAGCTGGATGGGCAGTGGTGGCATATGCCTTTAATCCCAGAATTTGGGAGGCAGAGACAGGCGGATCTCTGTGAGTTCAAGACCACCCTGGTCTACAAGAGCTAGTTCCAGGACAACCTCCAAAGCCACAGAGAAACCCAGTCTCGAAAAACCAATAATAAAATAATAACAATAACAATAATAATAACAATAACAATAAACTTAGCCTTATATGGCTTCAGAGGTCTTCAACCTCAATGGACTGAAGTGCTTTCCCTATGCTCAGGGCATTATTTTTCTCCATATTTATCCTTTAGCCAGTTGATTTCCATATACTCAAAACAAGCTGAATGTTATAGCCAAGGGTACTTGAGACTTCCCACATCAATTTCAAAAGGGCATTTTAACTTGATTCATCCTTTTCTTTTGCAGGAGATCATTGTGGCTGTAAAAAATGCAAATGTTGCTTAGCACTATCAAGCTTGCTTGTGAGCCCTCCTTGAAAAGTTGGCTTAGAGGTGCATGGCATAGAGCCATGCTCCACCCCCTAATGTTCTTTGTTACAGAGGCTGATAACCAAGGACAGGTAAGATCTTCTTGCTTCCAAGCAACCTAAGAAAGGTCACACATGACGGAATGTGTGGTCCAATGACCACACTGGTAGGTTGAAGGAGGTGACCTAAGACAGGCACAGCCATTTGTCCTGTTGCAGAAGCACAGGTATTATTTTATTAATTTAAGAAGGGGGAATTGTTGGTGCCAGTATATTGGAAATCTATTCCATCCTGCCATGAGTTCAGAGAGCTCAAGTCACTCCTGCTCTCTTTAAGATATTAGCTTAATGGCTGCAGGATGTCCTGGCCTCAGTGGTGAATGGCTCTATCTAAGTAACAATAGACTCGGGCCCAAGCAAGTTTATACTCATCCTAAAGGCTAGGATATGTGCTGCTATGGAGTGCCTGATGGCAGAGTTGTATGTGCAGTTACCCCATGTTATTAGAGAAAATCAATCAGGTCAACAGTTGGTTTCTTTTAAAGCTGTGTGTGCATATGCCATAGATTACCCACTTTCCTGCAAGCTTTTATTTCTTCCTGCACTACTGCCAGTGTCTAGCATAGTCCTGGTATAGCACATTTACCACTGGTACTGATTTCTAAGTTCCTGGTTTTCTTCATTCTGAGACTGCTACATGTGAACTTCTCATCCTATTTTTAGTAAAATTGGACATAGGGTTTGTTTTGGCCAATGAAATGGGATTGGAGGTGAGGCCTATGACTCCAGGTAAAAAAACCTGAAGAGGCCATTGAGCAACTCACCACACGCTGCTTTCTCTCTCTTGTGACCAAAGCATTTGGGATGCTTTCTGCTCTATCAGGTTAGAACTCTGAGTAATTACAATGAACGAGCTCCTCCCCCCCACACACACACACACACTCCTGCTACTCCTGCTGACTCTGGTTGGATATAAGCAGGAGTGAAAAATAAAATTTTATGATTTAAATCATGGGAAGCATGAAAGTGCTTACTAGAGTTTATCTTAACCTATGTGTATAAGCTGATTCAAAGCAAGGGCTTTGAATGTTAAGGTTCAGAGCACCTCGAGTGTTGGGCTCTTCTGCTCCTATCCTATATAAAACTAGATGCTACTACTGGTGCTGAGCCGTTGCCAAGATACCAGGGTGGAAAGACAGCAGCTTCTTAGGCCCCTGCTCCAGCTGGGCTATTTAGCCAGGAAGAATGACAAATTACTTGTTCTAATAATTTGGTAAGCCACACAGAATTTTGGTTTTACTATCATCTCATTACTACTGCTGCTAACTAATATTTCTTTCTCTGTGGCTTTCGTGAAACTAAATACATTAAATAAATGTAAATTCACCTCTTTAATCTTCTTAATAGTTCTCTTATTAGCCTTGCTTTAGAGCTAAAGAAACAGGCACTGAGACAGTATTAGTTTGCTGGGAGAAAAATTACCCACTCCAAGGGATGAGCCCCCTATTGTTTGTCCAATGCAGAGCAGTCAGCTCTGAAACCATATACACACAAACACCACAGATGGACTCAACAAGTTGTATTTATATATATTCATAAACATACATACGTACTGTAAGCCAGGGCTCAGTGAAATCACTGAACTGGACCACTTTGTGTGTAGAAAGAAAAGTTTATTAGAATAAACAGCCATACTGCCTTGAGAATAGAGAGAAACAAAGCAGGAAAGCAAGTGAATTTTATGATTGTCAGTAGGGGTGGAATCTTTGAGCTGACACAAGCTGTTCCAATAAATCAGGAACTATATGCCATTGCCAGAGGTAGCTGACCAGTTGGGGCAGATAAGGAAGCTAGCAATTTTCCCTGTAAACAGAATGCTGAGTTTAGGATTCTGTTCAGTCAACAACAATCCTTTATCCAGTCAAAGTCCTTCATTTTAGAACATTGTCACCAGTACTGTCATTTGGAGGGCTGGCTTTGGAAACCCCCGCACCAATAACAAAAGCAATAATAAATCAAAGAAAAAGGTGATAAACTTGAGAGTGGGGGCATGGGGTTTTGAGGGAGGGTAGTTTGGAAGGGGCTTAGGTGGAAAGGGAGAAGGGAAAGTGAGGTGATTCTATTTCAGTTAAAATATGTTTACAAGATAGCTGGACGGTGGTGGTACATGCCTTTAATCTCAGCACTTGGGAGTCAGGGGCAGGCAAATCTCTGAGTTCGAGGCCAGACTGGTTTACAAAGCTACACAGAGAAACCCTGTCTCGAAAAATCCTGTTTGCTCTAATTCATAGGTCAAAAATAAAAAAAAAATAAAAATAAAAAATAAAGTGGTTCAAGGAGCACGTAGACCTGGGCAGTCTAACCTAACTCTAGAAAATGTATCTCTTTATAGTGATGGTACTCTATGTCCTAAAAAGTGATTCACACTCAGGTGAGAATGTTTTGTACACACAGACACACAAGCTGAGTTCTGTGTCATCTAGCACGGCAGCGTTGAGAATGACTGGAAAGAAATGGCTTTATATTTGATAGGGTGCAAGATGAGTGAAAATCAAGTGCATAGCCATGTATTTTGGAAGCTGAGTGGTTGCAGTGATAGTTCCTCCTCAGGAGCTGAGTTTGCAAGAGAGTGACGTAGGAAACATCTGTTGCTTAAGATGCTTCCTTGGCCTTGTAGTGCCTCTCATCTAATGAGCATAATTGTGGTTCCAGAAACAGCTAGCATTCAGCCACAAGTAGGAGAGAGGTTTGAGGCATCTATCATATGAACCCACTATCTTTAGAGAAAACCCAGAAAGTAGTCAAAGATGGAGCCTAAATACACATACCTCCTGGAGTTCAGACTCTTGGCCGTTCTCCCTCAAGTTCCATCTCATTCTCCTTGCAGGAGGACCCGGCAGTCAAGATACCTGCAGAGTTTACAGACAGATTTGGATGCTTATTTACCATGCAACTGTCTCTTTCATTAGTTGTTCTTCAAATTATTATTAGTTTCAGTTCTTTCAACGTTGGTCCCCCGCCCCCAATTTTGATTAGTAGTAAACACTTGGTGAAAGAGAAAAGAGGAAAGCAAAAGTGAAGCTTTGAAATTCATTATTCAGCTGCTGTAAAAATTGGCAAATGCTTTACATCTAAACCCACCCACTGTAATCTTTCCCATTGCGGCTGCAACAAATTACTACTGGTGTAGGAGCTTAAAGCAACACAAATTATCCTACAGACTTGATGTCTAATGTCCCGAAACCTTCACGATGACAGGACTGTCCTTTTCCATTGGTTCTAGAAGAGAAGCTACAGCTAGCTTGCAGTCTAGCTTGCAGAGACTGCCGCATTCCTTGGCTCCTGTCCTTAAATGCCATCCTCAGAGTATGTTGCTCAACCTGTGCTTCTATGATCACATCTCCGTCTTAATACTTCAGTGTTTTGTTTGCTCTTCACAACCTCTTGTCATTACTCTGGGCCCACATGGCTTATCCAGCATGATCTCCTTGTCATAAAATCCTCAATTCATCATATCTGTGAAGTCCTACTTGTCATGTTCAAAGTCCTTGGGAACTAAGAGCCAGAAGTCTTTGGACAGTCTTGGTTTTGTCTATTATACATACCCATTTGCCATTCAATATACTCATCTATGCAACTGAATGCTTGCCATTTTTGAGAGAGAGATATTAGACAGACAGTGAGCTGGCTTTTGAGAAGGTAAAGTGGGAAAAGAACAAAGAATATAGATGAACCTTAAAAACACTGCACCGATTTTAAAAGTTTAAAAAAGATAATATTCAGAAGCCAACACTATCTATCAGGTGAATTCCCTGGGTACATAACACTCAGAAAGCTGCTTTTCCATTTCAAGAATATATACTTGTGCAAAGAAGGATTTCAAAGCCATAACAACAGTATTTAATGTAGGGAGAAGTAACAGTAGATAATCAGGAGTAAATAGAATACATAAAGCAGGAGGTAGGACTTAGGGGGTTATATGTGTTATGAACTAAGGCATTTATTAACTATACAATATATGTTAAAAAAAAAAGATAAGAGGGCTAGAGAGACAGCTCAGTGGCTAAGAGCACTTCCTACTTTTGTAGAGGATGTGAGTTTTGGGTCCAGCTGTCATATGGTGGCTCACAACCACCCACAACTCCAGTTCTAGGGAATCTGACATCCTCTTCTGGCCTGGCTGGCCACCAGGCATGCATGTGTTGCACAGACATATAAGCAGGCAAAAACTCACACACACGCAAGACAAAGCTAAGAAATCTATAAACATTTCTAAGAAAATAAATGAGATAGTTTAAACACAGTGCTGTAGTTACGGAAAGTGAAACAGAGCTGTTAACAAAGTGAAAGCACCCATGGACCAGAGGAACAGAAGCAGGGATACCCTTAAAACACTGGCTTGTAGCTGGAGGGAGCTTTCTCCTTAAGGGATATTTCACAATGTCTAGAGACATTTTTGGTTTCACATTTGGAGGAGGGGTGTGCTCTTGGCCTCTGATGGATGGGCCAGAGATGCTGTTCTGCACCATCCAACAACACCTGGGGGGGGGGGGCAGCCTGTCACAGCAAAGAAGCTTCTGGCTGGAAACATCGTGGTACAACAACCAGACATAAAGGTTAATTATTCCTGAAAGTATTATGGACACATCAATAGCTTTGTCTTATAAATATTTAATTATGCTCTCTCTGCTGTGTTTAAAGTGTATTTTTCAAAATGCCTGGTGCCTATTCTCTATGAATTTCTGACCTTGCCTCTGCAGTCTGAAGATTGCTGCTTGCTTACATGTTCCTATTTGTGAGTTTTTGTTAATCCATGAGCTTGAAATATATCAGAACATAATTAGGGTTAGAAAGAAACAAGAATTACTGTTCAACTCCTCCAGCTTCATTCAGGTTATAAGCTAATCTTCAAGCAAAGGAGAGTATTGGTATCTTCCTCACATGTGGACAGTGACTTTGGCTCTTAAAATCAGTTTGAGTGTGACTGAATTAATTAAGGGACCAGTACAGTAATTCAATTTTACAGTAGATTTGTGGGGCATAGTCAACTTAATAACCATTCATGGCAAATCATATCTACCACCAAGAAATAGTAAATCATCACATCTCTAAAATGATCAGTGTTGCCCGACAAAGGCAAAATAGTTTAGCAGTGTGGCTTTACCTTCTTATTTTGGTTTTAGTTATTCTTTTAATGAAGGTTTCTCAAACCTATGCGCTCATCATTCATGGCAGATTCTGGATTACCTTGTGTTTGCCCCACAAGTAGGCATGTTTAATGAGGAGAAATGTTAAAATGTCATCCTCAACACCACTAGCCAATGGGACCTCTTAGTGTAATCTAAAGATCTGGAGCCAAAGACCTGTAGGAAGACACCATAACCATGCCTCCTAAGGGCTGGCTGCAGGTGTGCCTGACCATGCCTGTCAAGGCGTGGTCAAGGTGAGGTCAAAATGACGCACCATGGGCTCTTAAGCGATGAGCACATGGACACTCTCTTCCCCTTTGGCTGCCCCTTCTCTCTGGCCTCCCTGCCTTGCTGCCCCTGGGTACTCTCTGGCTTTCGTTTGGCTGCTATTTATCTGAATAAAGGTATCTTGAATCTACAAGCTTTTTCCTTCAAAGACCCTTACACAACTACTGAAATACTGTGAGCTGTAGTCTTTTCATTTATAGCAAGTCATATCAAATTTAACTAAAGCCCTTAGTTGAAGTGAAATAAAGTAGGTGACTTATAGCTATTAATTCTCATTCTTTGTTCAGTTCTTAATTAAGTCTTACCAATAGGAAGGTACACATAGTTAATGTTTTCCCTTCAAGGTCAAGCTAAGAGAAATAAGAAAGTGTCTACTGCTTTGGCAAGCATTTCTGTAACTCACCCTGCTTTAATACCCTGCTTAACTCCTACAAGTGAACATGATCTCTTAGTGTTCTGGAATCCATAACACATTGTCTGGAATGTCTATCTTATCTAACTAGAGGGTGCCTTCAGCCCTCATGATTTAGTTGACTTTCATTTGAATATTTTTACCTCCATAAACAACAATGTCCCAAATTAGGACTTCCTCCCCCCCTCATTTTTACTCCTTTCTTCCTTTTGCCATCATCCCCAAAGCACACCGTGTCTTCCCAGAATTCAGGTACACACCTTTAATCCAAGCATTCAGGAGGCAGAGGCAGGCAAATCTCTGTGGGTTTAAGGCCAGCCTTGTCTGCATTGTAAGTTCCAGGACAACAAGAGCAAATAGCGAGGCTCTGTCTGAAATAACAAAACAAACAAAAAAATGTCTTTTTTGAGAAATCAAATATTCATGCCATTATTTTCATCCATTTACTTTTTCCTTCTTGTGTAGGCTAAATTCCAGGTACTAAAAGGGAAAATTAATGCATTTTAGTATCCCCTAGTATAATAAAATTGAGTGTTTGAAAAATATAGTCTTCTAGTTATTACCATTACATAAGAGATACAATAGAGAAACATCCAATAGGTAGACTTAATGCTAATATCCACTATAGATTGTGTATTTAAAATAAAGTAAACCACATGCAACATATAGGTCCCAGAATTAAAAAATAGTACCTGCAATTATATTAAATTTATATTGTTAAAAGAAACTCGACTCTGTTGCTTCATTCCAGGCATTAATCCAGTTAATACAAAAACCAAGGAAAATGTCACATTGGACACATTAAGTAGATTGCAGCTGAGAAAGATAAATGTGTAAGGATGCCATTTGCTGAGAGGTAAGAGTCATCAGTGTCCCTTCTCACTTTCTTTCATCTTATATAGCACTGGTTAATCTCACAGCCTGCACAGCACTGAACAAGGAAATTGGAAAGCTGCAGAATCGATTTGCAGAAGTGAGCTTCTATTTCTCTTCCTCCTCCTCCATCAGAGCTGCTATCACTGCTGTGTTGTGTGGGATCATTATTGACAGTCACCTGTGCACAACTGATAATTGCTAAAAGTCATTCTCCAAATGTGAAGGCACACACAAAAAGGCGACTGCATCTCCCCTCCTCATTTTTCAAATTTGTTGCTTTCATGATCCTTTATCTTCTCTATAACTTAAAGGTCAAGACTTTTCTCAAGCTGCTATCACAGTGGTCCTCTTTGCTTTTGGTTCCCAGGTAATATATACAATAAGAAAGCTCCAGTGTCTAACTTAAATGCAGGTCTTAGCATATTCTGGGGTTGCTTTTACAATTAGAATATTCTGGGGTTGCAATATACAATTTATATATTTTACTCTAAACATTAACTATATGGGAGAATTGCTTCAAGGGTCAACACAGTACTGAATACATTAAGGAAACTGGGTTACTTTTACTGCTGTCTTTCCAAGTTAGGCATAGGTTTTGTAGGTTCTTGGCAAGTGTGAACTTAGAGCTACCTTATTTAAAAATAAAACTATAGCTTAGGACCATTTGTTATCTACTCTGAAACAGAATCATCTTTGTATTTAAAAAAAAAACACTGAGAATTCGTAGAACTAGTCCTTCAACTTTGAGATCCTTCTACTTATTCTGTTTAAAAAGTGCATCAAAATAATGAAATCTCCACTAAGCAATATCACCTGATAAGTAGTGAAGTCTATTTATAGGGTGTCAGATAACTGGAAAGCTTGTAATTACAATTTTTTAGTTCTCAAATTTAGATTTACTTTCTGTCGTTTGTAATCTGACCCATTCCCAAGTTGGCAAATCTTTGTCTGTTAAAGAATAAGGAAGCTTTCTTTTAGTTAATTTAGCAATATGGAAAAGTGCATTATTTAATTATTACAGAATTAAATAGAAAATTGAGTTAGACATGGAGAAATGGCCATGTAATCCCAGCACTCAGAAGGCTGAGTCAGGAAGATCAAGTTCCAGGCCAGACTGTATGTAGCTAGACCCTTGTCATTTCAAAAATTTAAAACAAACAAACAAAAAATAGAAAATTGGGCAAGTGTCTCTTCAAGAGTAAGTAGAATTTCCCTTATTTTAACAGGATTGAAAATTTGCTGATTAAATTTGAACTTCAGTTAAACAGTCAGTTGTATGCTCCCCCAAAATGCATGCTCTATGCTTTATTTGCTAAATCTATCCTGAGCATTAATGCCATTATTTCTTAGTGTCCTCAGTATTGTGATCAAAATCATTTTACTAAATTGAATGCATGAAAAATGCAAATTCAAATTAGAATTAACAAAAAGTGAAATCAAATCCATCGTGTATAGACAGACTATGCTGATAAGCAAGCCTTTCATGTTTCATAAGGACTGTGAATGATGTCCATAAGCCCCGATTCCCAGGAAGCACATCTCATTCATTCACATAGCAGTATAGTACTCGGAACTTTGTTGTAACCAGTCTTTGTGGGGCTTCAGTCAGATCCAGCTGACTTGCCTGGTTTGTACCTGAGAGGGGGAGTGTGGATTGAGAAATGGCAGGTAAAGATACTCAGGAAGAGAAAGACACAGAAGAGGGTCAGAAGGGCAATCCAGTGAATACTGGATACAAGGAAGAAATAGACTTTCTTCCTTCATTCTCCAAACATTTGGTAACCATGACTTAGACTAAATTTCTTGTTATCTTGAGGGTCCAGAGTAACCACAGCCTCAGAGCAAGTTGCTTTTTATTTAGATAAGATGTCCATGACCAATACCAAACATCCTACAGTAGCCACACCTTAGACCTTTAGGTCCAAAGACTTTAACCTTGGAAGAGTAAGGATTCAGTTTTGAACTCTGACCTTAAGCCAAGATGAAGCAGAACCATCTCTCTCGGCCCTGACAGGACTTTGAGTTTCTAGAACACTTAGGGAATAGAACTCAACTATTTTAAATGATACCCAGTCTTTTTCAATCATAGATGAAAATTTCAAGACCCTTTAGTACGTTCACCTGGGGCTGATGGTGTGCTTGCATGAGGCTTCTATAAGCATTTCAACGGATCTGATGGATGGACAGGGATGGATAAAATTCCTGCTTTCTTGGGGAAGACTATGAGGTAGACAGAATGCCAGTGCTAATGGTGATTAGATGTTAGGGTAAGGGATGTATGTTCAAGAGCTGGAAGAGCTTGTGTAGGAGTCAGGAGGACTTCAGCACTGTCCTGGCAAGCTCCTCTCTCCAGCACTGTCCCAGGTTCAGCCTCTCTCCAGCCCAGAGGACTTATTCACTGTCAAGGGGCCCAGGGGAAATCAATGATCTGTGAAAAGCAGGGCATGTGACTAAGGTGATGCAATTTCAAATGGACGTCACAGGTGACTCATCAGAGGTTTGCTTTGGGGCCTACTGATATTTTTCTTCTGGGCGGGGTGTCTTATTTCCTCTGCATTTTTTGGATAACAGCCCTGGTGACCATTTCCAACTTTTCAGAGTTTCAAAGCCGTCATGTAGAGCGCTTTTTCATACGGGGAATCTAGTCACGGGAAGGGAGTTTGGGGAATGAAAAAATTGATTTTTAAAACGGAGAGAGGCCTTAGCCAGGGAAATGTGAGCTACAAGAGCTTTTCCTACCTCACGCCTCAGAGTGACAGCGCTCCTCAGCCAGAGGACTACATTTCCCGGCGGGCGCTGCTTATCTCACAGGCACAAGCTGGCGGGGGCGGGGCTCTCCACCTCCTCCCAGCTAGCCTATAGGAACGCCCGGCTTGAG